TATATATATATATATATATATATATATATATATATATATATATATATATATATATATATATATATATATATATATATATATATATATATATATATATATATATATATATATATATATATATATATATATACTGTATATATATATATATACTGTATATATATATATACTGTATATATATATATACTGTATATATATACTATATATATATACTGTATATATATACTGTATATATATATATATATACTGTATATATATATACTGTATATATACTGTATATATATACAGCTAATTCAATAAAGGTTGTACTTTGAAAACCTTAAACTCTAAAACCTTAAACCTTAAACTCTAAGCGCGCAAAGCGTAATGGGTGCACTATTTAAGCAGTTTATAAAGCATACATGGAGCCCATTTCTTGGAGACATGGTAAATATGTGCCTGCCAAAACATTTCACTCACAAACAGCTGCAATATTCCACTACAAAGCTTGAAATCAGTACTCCCATTATGCTTTGTGCGCTTAGAGTTTAAGGTTTAAGGTTTAGAGTTCAGGTTTGCAAAGGACAACCTTTATTGAATTAGCTGTATTAGCTGTATACCTTTATTGAATTAGCTGTATATATTTAAGATTGATATTTGTTGTTTATGTCTTTTTATTTGCTCTACTGATTTATTGGTGTTGAGCACTCTAGTTCACTACGCACAAATTCAACATTGAATATATATATATATATATATATATATATATATATATATATATATATATATATATATATATATATATATATATATATATATATATATATATACTATATATATACTATATATATATATATATACTATATATATATACTATATATATATACTATATATATATATATACTATATACTATATATATATATATATATATATATATATATATATATATATATATATATATATATATATATATATATATATATATATATATATGTATATATATACAGCTAATTCAATAAAGGTTGTCCTTTGCAAACCTTAAACTCTAAAACCTTAAACCTTAAATTCTCAGCGCGCAAAGCGTAATGGGAGCACTATTTAAGCAGTTTAGAAAGCATACATAGAGCGCACTTCTTAGAGACATGGTAAATATGTGCCTGCGAAAACACTTCACTCACAAACAGCTGCAATATTCAACTACAAAGCTTGAAATCAGTACTCCCATTATGCTTTGTGCGCTTAGAGTTTAAGGTTTAAGGTTTAGAGTTTAAGGTTTGCAAAGGACAACCTTTATTGAATTAGCTATTTATATATATATATATATATATATATATATATATATATATATATATATATATATATATATATATATATATATATATATATATATATATATATATATATATATATATATATATATAATAATAATAATAATAATAATAATAATAATGGTTTAATAGCATTTCCACATTGTGGCTATTCTATGCTACAAAAGGTTACATGCATACATTATGACAACATTACATTACTACAATATTATAGTATATTAGAGACCTATACTTTACAAGAGATAATCAAACTACAAAAACGAAACGAAACAATGGACACATTACGTAACAAAACAATGGACACATTACGTAACAATATAATATATATATATATATATTATATAATATAATATATAATATAATATATATATAATAATAATAATAATTAATATATATATAATAATAATAATAATAATAATATATATAATAATAATAATAAATTGATTTTCCAGGTTTCCCAGGCCTGGATTTTGGAATATTGAAATTCCATGACTTTCCAGGACCCGTACGAACCCTGTGTATTAGATGCTCAAATTAATCAAATTTCGATCCACTTTAGGATTTTGTACGAAGATGTCTCGACGGTCTCATACAGCGCACATAATTTCACAGTGGTGTATGGCTCTGGCGTTAATGCAACCACCAGGGTTATTTTTAAGCTCAAAAGTGAACTGATGGCTGTCTCATTGTTTCGTTCCTTTACTGAATTCCACACTTTCTTTAACTGCAATACGGTAAAGAAATCTGTGATTGATCAAACGACACGAACGACGTTTGGAAAATTTGTTACAATATTCCAGCCTCATTCCACAATTGGTGAAATGTATTTGTTTGATATCTTACGCACACGAAGGCAGGCATATACCCGTGCTTGGAGCATACTTAACGAACAATTAAATATCAACAAAAGACGGCATCAACCACAACAAGATGGTTCGGAAAACACTGACTTTCGTCCGGTGCAATCACCCCTAGCTAACCGACGTTCTGGAACCAATGATGATATCGTTATTGACATTACGAAAACCCCACGAGGGAAATTCAAAACACATGAGAACCTTAACGAACTTTCCAACGAGGAGATGAAGAGGATCGTTAGAGATCTTGAAGATTCCCGTATCTGTCAAGTCTGTATGGACGAAGAGGTTGCGACCGCATTCTGTCCTTGCGGACATGTTGTTTGCTGTACAGAGTGTTCCATCATGTGCCGAGAGTGTCCAATTTGTCGAAGTCAGATCACATATGCACAGAGAGTGTTTTTCTCTTGTGATTAAGTTTAACTGTTGACAGAGATATTTAAAAAAATGCTTGTTTCTTACGTAACAACTGGGTCATATGTTATTAATAGATATTTGTGGGTGCTAGACATGGTGGTGAACACATTGTTTTGGAACAAGCAAGCGATGCTAATGTTTTAATTACATGTATTTGCACAAGCAGTGGCAGACATTGGGGATAGACAGGCAGGTTACCACCCCACCCCACCCACCCACCATGTGCTACTGTGACACTTGAAAAAATTGGTTAAACCCACCTATTGAATAGCTCTCCCCAATTCTAATGCACCCAACCAAAGGGGTGCTCAAATTCATACTAATTAATACGTAGCATTATGCCCAAGTTGTTTTAAAATTTTCATCACACTATATAGGTATATTTGTAATATATTGTTAAATAGCATTGTTTATAATATTAATTAATGGAAAAATGTCTTTAAGACTTTAAAATTTTAAGTGTATATACACTATAAAAATATAGTATTGTTTTCTGTGTATTATGGTTAGATTGGAATATTTATTAAAACACAGAATCACTGATTATGTCTATTCAATACCACATTCGAAAAATTAAACTATGAACATTCTATTCACACCTTGATCATTGCTGGTTGTATGATAATAGCTAGTGATATCCAACCTCATTCCCAGGCGAGGTTGAGTGATATCCACTTATCAGGGATGGGTTCAACTCTAATTTGACTAACCCCTCTCCCCCATGCCCCCACCTTATAGGGGTGTTGTTCTCAATAAGGGCTCTCTGGAGTCTGGACATGACATCCCCACCAGTCAATTGCTAGATAGTATACTTCAAAATAAGGTTTTTATATCAATTTTTAAAATAAGTTAGGGTTAGTTTAGGGTTAGGGTGAGGGTTAGTATTAGGGTTAGGGTTTAGTTTTGCGTTAGGATAGTTTTTTCTACGTTATAAAAACGGAAACCTTATTTTGAAGTATACTATCTAGCGATCACCCCAGTCAATTGCCCTTGGCCTTGAGTGGAATGACATCAGAATTATATTATATCAAATATTGCTTCAATTTTATAAGAGTTCATTTATAAGATTTTCCTTGTCGGGACTAAAGGCAAATTTAAAATCAATATAGCAATATCACATGCAATGGAGAAAAAAATAATCAAGTCATATTCTATATAAACAGTATAGGCCAATAACGCCAATTAAATCTGCCAAGAAAGCTTTGGATTGATATACAGGGTGTATCAAAAAAAACTGAACAGATTTGAAATTGCTCTCAATTTCGAAAAACACCTATTTGTATCTGGTCAGTTATATATATAGCTTCTTTGGGTACTTATAATGTAAAATAATGAAAAAAAATTCTCGAACTCAAATTCTGTGAACCAGGGGGGTGTGTCTTTCCCAACAAACTAAAAATGGCTCGCGCACAAAATTTAAAAGCTGTAATCATATTTTGAGTTAATAGATTAAAAATTTGTCGGGTTTTTAATTACTGTACAAAATTTCAGACAATTTGGTTTAGTTTAAGCCCTTTAACTATTCATTTTGTTCTAAAAAGTCAGCCTTTCGCATGCTTAAAATTAATGCCTTTACCTAATTTGCATATTGATGACATATGCAAATTAGGCAAATGCATTAATTAAGCATGCAAATAGCTGATTTTTAGGGAAAATTGTAACTTTGCGTGAATAGTTAAGGGGCTTAAACTAAACCAAATAGTCTGAAATTTTGTACAGTAATTAAAATCCCGACAAATTATCCATCTGTTAACTCAAAATATGATTGCAGCTTTTACATTTTGTGCGCAAGCCATTTTTAGTTTGTTGGAAAAGACACACCCCCTGGTTCACAAAATTTGAGTTCGAGAAATTTTTCTCATTATTCTACATTATAAGTACCCAAAGAGGCCATATATATAAAAAACCGGATACAAATAGCTGTTTTGCGAAATTGAGAGCAATTTTAAATCTGTTCAGTTTTTTTTGATACACCCTGTATAGGGATGCAAGTACCTAAAAAATGCACAAAACGTCGGCGTTTCGAGCGAAGTCGGGATGTTTGCTGCGAAAGGCCTCCGCTCGAGAAATGTCGAAGTTCTCCTTGTATTTTTAGGTAGTTGGATGCCATTTATGCCTATCAACCGAAGCTTTCTTAGGCTAATTGCCAATTAGAGTATAAAGTCTTGGTCACACGAGAATGAGTATTAACGAGAATGAATTGTTATTAAGCATTTCATAACAGTCTTATTAACAAAATACTCAGTACTGAGTGTTTCAACGACGTTTTAACTTAAATACAACACATAATAGTTTTGGGAAAGCATGAGGAACATCTAACCAAGGTCCCGTGATCATGTCTGATTGATGTCATACTGTCAACAGCTTGCTTTCCAAGAAAAACAAGTTGAACACGCACGGCCACAAAAAACCAGTCGTACTAAAAGATTTTCTCATCAAAAACAGGCAGAATCTTGTTAAAGTTTCCCTCAATTCTGTCAATTTAAACAAGGTCAAGGGCAAATTATGCATGACTAAAATTCATTAAAACAGTCCCCTAGAGATTTGATATATCACACAAATTGAGGCAAAATGATTGTCGATATTCGGTGGTTTTCCCCCGAAGTCTTTCACAAATAAATTTTACAATTAAATGCAACATTTTTTTCTAGGGGCATTCCCGATGTATAATGTTCTATAAATGCGTTGCTAGCTAATTGTATAAATATGATGCAACAAAGTTGTCTATTTAAACTTTTAAAAAGGACGAAACAAGCCTTCGAACTTCCCAGCATTTTTATACTATGATAGAACACATCAGTCCTCTAAATAATTTCCCCCATAACGTACCGAACTTAAAAATTCGATATCAAATTACAACATTCCATAACATACTTGAATGTTTGCAGCAAGAAATTCTATTAAAATGTAGTTCTAAAATCTAAATTCACAACAAAAGGAGAAAATGAAGCGAACTAGGTACATAAAATAAGCATGAGTCGTTATGTTTATATTTGAAAAATTATAACATGAAATACTCGCTCAGAATCTTGACAAACTTGAAATTTTTATCACGCGATGTTTTTGTGCTCTATTCCCGGTTTGTCCGGTTCAACTTGTATACCCTGCGCACTCAGCCAATCAGCGTGCGTTGAATTATATAACTCGCGCTGTGATTGGTCAGACGTGCGTCGTGAATGTAAACAAGAAAATCTAAAAGTTTTCCCTGATGTTCAACAGGCTCGAACATTTTTAGCTGAGAAGCAAAGATTTTGGCAGTTTGGGGTGCGTTTTGTAGTGAAAGAGCTCGTTTTTGGCGAGGCGCTTGCCTTTCTTCAAGCTAGAAGCTTCAGTATGAAATATCTTGTGGAGGAACCGAATGGAAATCTACACGAAATCACCGTGCCAAAAAACGCCGCCGGTCAAGTTTGTTACGAGAAGGTAAACACAGCGGATGAGACTACATTGTCTTCGTACATTTCAGTCCTGTATTCTACTTTTATATTCGCAAAAAACCCCTCAAATTTAGGCTTAAATTGTCACTTATTTTCTTCTTCTAGTTGTGTGCGAAGCTGGGAATCGTTGAACAACATTATTTTGGCTTAACTCGCCCGATAAATCACGAAACGAGAACATGGCTGAATTTACGAAACCCTCTGATGGCGCAGCTTCGTCCGCATATAACTGGGAAACCGCATCGTTTACGCTTAGATGTTAAATTCTACGTACTGCCTCAAGAAATACAACATGAAAGAACTAGGTAAGCTGCTATTTCGTGCTATTTTGCGTGACCACAAGCGCGGGCAAATTCGCTACAAAGTTCACGAACTTCACGACAACATGTATTCAAATGGCTATAAACCCCTGGTGTATATGAACAATTGTGCATTTCGCCCGTGAAATATGTGTTCTCCTCACTCAAAAACTTCTCTATTTTCCAGGCACTTCTTTTACCATGCATTGAAAAGGAATTTAGGCGAAGATAAATTCGTTTTAAGTCAAAACCAGCTCACTAAACTGCATGCGTTGATCAGGCAAGCCGAACAAGGAGACTACGAAGGGACGGACGAGCACCGAAGCTATCAGACGTGTTCAATTCAAAACGCTTGGGAAAGGGACATTAGACTAGAACATAAGAAACTTAAAGGCACCTCAGAAAGCGTGGCTAAACTGAAGTTTATCTCCATTTTGGCCGAGACAGAATTCTATTTCTGTGAATGGTTTAAAGTCAAACTCGGGGGAGAGAAATTATTTGCTGCCGTCGGGGCGACCGGTTTGACTCTTATAAATCGGCGAAATCCACATAGCTCGAAAGAAGTGTAAGTATTACTAGTAAACAGCATATTCCTTTTATAAATAGTATATACTCCTTAATTTTTGTCGCGGTTTGGTTGGTTTTAGGTATTACAAAGCCATTTCATGTCGTGTACTCGCACGCCATTTTATATCGCTTGTTGTCCGACTTTATTTTATATATTCCGACAAAACCGGCTTTGCTGGAAATTTTTCCTGCTAGGCAGTACCAATTACCAGCTCGTAGATTTCCAAAAAAATTTGATAAAATGCATTTGCTACTGTGGTTTACAGCTATAATTTGCTAGCTGTACTAAATTTAAAATATTATTAACAGCCCTTTGCGAAGGTCAATAACGTTTTGACAACAATGACAGACATTTTGGGCTATATTGTTCCACCCTGCCACACTACTTCCAAATACTATTTTGCAGCTATAATACATGGCTTTATTGCTTATATTTTTACAAATTTTACGGTTGCAGAACAAATTACTGTTTTTCTACAAAAATGTAGTGAAATGTATATTTTTAATTTAGAATATTAAATAGTAATTCCCAGAAGACCAATTAGTGCTTCTAATTTGCTTACCAGTTCTCATTTAATACTGTAAGCACCAGTGCACCACCTTATATGAACTTGTAGTTACAGCTAAACAACTGTCACTCTGTAGCTCAGTTGGTTAGAGCCGCAGAATCGCAGGACCACAGGTTCGATTCCTGCCAGGGCAGAGGGCCGATACTGCCCCTGGTTAGGTCTAATAAATACTTAAAATTTTTAAAAATTCCACTTGAAAAATTTCCGTCTACAAATGCTACTGCAGCACATTTTTCAATAAAAAGGATTATTTCAAGCTGACAATATGAGTATTTTTAGCCAAAATACATGAAGCATGACCTATATAATTAGCTGCCATGACAGTATTATTACTTTTCATGAACCATGCCAGGTTTTGTGATTGTAATCTGATATGGCATTGTTTTACCCATAGGGAATTTAAATTTTTGGCATATAGTTATGTAGATACATTTAGAAGGCCTTTAATAAGTAGGTTTGTAGACTTTTAATGTAAGCAATTTTGGCCAGTATATTGTATGCTAATCAATGCTCTGTCAACACTGCAAACCAAACCTATTGTTTTTGCATATTAATATTGATTTCTGTATGTAAGCACTCGGTTATTAGCAATATTGATTTTTAAATCTCTGCAAAGCCTCGCACGTTGTAATTGTCTTGGTATTGGTTTTATATAGCAAAACTATTGTGCCTAAACACCGTGCAAAACAAAATAATTTTCCAAGCAAAATGTTTACAAGGCAATGGCCAACAGCTTCTCTTGAGGCTTTACAGTGCAAAGTCCAATGAGTATACGGCTCAGCCAAGCACATGTCAATCACATGTTTGCTGCATGGGTGAACTGAGCAGGGCTAAATATTATGTTGTGCCTACAAGCAAAATTCATAAACTTCAAAATGCCCCTGCAAAAATGCATCATATTTTAGGTTTTTAGAAATAAATATTGTTAAAAATGTCCGGATTTTAAAATGTCTCTTACAAATTTATGAGGTATTAACCAGACAGACACGACTCTTGCATGAATTTTGTACAACTTTACCTACATTTTCAACTCTTTTGCAAAATAAATGCACAGTGCAGGCATTTTAAATAACTAAGAAGCAAGCAGCAAACAGAAACTAGACAACAACTCAACAAGTAATAGCTCACAAATGAGCAGCTTTGAACTATAAAGCTGTAGAGAAAACACAACGAGTACTTACAATAAATAATTAGATCTTGTACTAGCATAGATCAATGCTGTAAATAAAACAAAACAAAGTTAACACATTAACCCTTTAAGTGGTAATGCACCCTACTTTATTATTTTACTCTGTCTAACACCAGACGATTTTACTCTTCAACTGGGAGAGCAATGCCACTCAATGGGTTAACACCCAATACATCTCCCTTGAAAAGTAACATTTAATAGAAGCCGGGCTGGCCCTCTTAGCAAGACAGCCCAGTATGCAAGATCTTGCTGTGTATATTAAAATTACCATGCATTTATATGGATAAACAGGCTGACCCAGTTGCCAAGATCTTACTTGAAAGAGCTGAGATCTCGCTTACCGGGATGAAAATTTCTCCATATAAACACTCGCAAGCGGGCTGGCCGGCCCTGAGCACTGCTTACTGGCTGTATTGCTAAGTGGGCCAGCCTGACTTCCATATAAACAGCCCCTTAGTCAAGTCAAGGGTAATTAGTGTTTGCTGTTATGCATTAACAAACAGCTAATACTAGATTCCCCTTATTATACGTTTTCGTAGCGCTTTGCATTGTGGTTATAGTGGTATCACTGATATTCAAGATGACTTATTTTTTGTCCTGACCCATGCAAGAACTTTTAAAAAAAGCTAGGGTCAGGTGTGCGATAGCCAACAGCAAAATATGTGCGAAAACATTCAATATTTTCATTTGAGGCCGCTATCTTTATCAGTGATACCACTATAACCACAATGCAAAGCGCTACGAAAACGTAATAAGGGGAATCATCAGTTGCTAATTACAGCTAATTAATATTATCATGAACTAAACCTCATATCTCCTGTTTTATTTTAGTGTTTCGTATCTGGATATCTCAAAGATCAGCCTCTTTGAAGAACGAATGATTCTGGTGATCAAAAGACGTAGTGCAACATACAGATTTCTGCATTTCTTTCATCCAAGCTGCGAGTCAGCAAAGGTCATGCATAAATGTGTGTTGGAAAAGAAGTTGTTCTACTTTGAACCAAAAATATTGGACTCTGTTCGAAACCATTACATGCTCGCGTTCCCATGTTGGGCCTATCCTTCCAAGTGGCTTGCAAGACGCACAGTTCCCGAGTTGTATCATTTAGATGTACGCTGTACGAGGCGGCAAGCTTATGAAGAACATTTTAATGCTATACATGGTCAGGGAGAGTTGCCGAAGCCTGAAATCGCTAACGAGTGTATGGAATTTAACGAGGACACTAACGAGGACACTAATGATTGTGACATGCTAGAGGCTAGTTGCATTATGCCTGTATGTATAACATGTAGCAGTTCAGAGAATATGGTTGCATACAGCCCTTGTGGACATGTGGAGTGTTGCATGGCATGTGCCAAGGGTAACGTCACTTGTGGCGTATGCGACACACCGGTTGCTAACAAGCTAAAGACATATATTGCTACAGATGGATTCTCTGACGAGCTACTATGTCAAATATGTATGGATAACGAACTGTCTACAGTGTTTTCTCCATGCGGGCACATGTACTGTTGTAACGAGTGTGCATCGAAATTGAACTTTTGTCCATTGTGTAAAGGTTGGATCTTGTTCACCCAGAGAATACAGTTCCTTTGCCTCGATGTCCCTAAAAGCTAGCAGAGTAAAGTCTACTGGTGCATCAAAGATACTGAAAACAAGCATTCGAACTGTAAACAGTGTATAGTCTACTAGATTAAAGATGTGTAACTAGTAGTTATAGATATTTTTGTCGAGTGACAGATATAATGTACATGAAAAATTTAAAGTATTAACAAATGTAGAATATAAATTATAGAAAGTTATGTACAGCAGATTATGTATGTAGTGTCACTAAGCATAGTTTGTGTGATATGGTATTGTGAAATATGTAAAGTTCAAATTGTACCAGCTGATTTTACTCTACTGGGTATGTCATTGGTTTTTGTATGAACTATGTGAAAACGGTGGTCCAGTGTAGCTAACATTTTACAATAAGCTACCATGGACCACTATGTTTGAGCTATCTTTTTCATGTAGTTCAGACACAGACCACAACATCTTATTGTCGAATACTACCTACACTGAACTCCAGATTTATTTTTAATGGATCTGTAGCCCCATGGTGTAATTTGCATATAATGCACACACCTAATCCCCTGCCCCTAACAACAATTTGGACTTAACATATCTGTGTTTATGTGTAACAAATAACTTGATGACAGAAAATGACATTAGATCTAAGCATTAGAAAAAAAAAAAAAACAGAAATTGGAATATTTAATATTTCTGTTTCAAAATTAATGTACTGATGTTAATGTACTGATGTTGATGAATGTACTATAATATTTATAGAGATGATTGTAAGAATATTTTGTGTATTGTATTTTAGAGGGAAATATTATAATGCACTGTTGTATTTTAAAATAAACAGATGAAATTTTGATATGGTATGTATTTTGTTATATTCCTCACATATTTGACACATAAACCTTGTAAGAGACAAATTGCTTCAATGTTTACAAATGTTTCTTAGAACTCAAGAATTGATACACCCTTTCCTGAAAGTATGCCATCTTGGGTATAGAGCCTCGTTTTTGTCCTCAAATTTAGAAAGGGTTAGCACTATTTTCCATCCAGCAAACTGACCTGACGTCATTTTCGGAAGATAGAAGAGGTGTTAAATGGCTATGTAACTAACCCAAACCCTACCCCTACTCTAACCCCTAACCCTAATCGAATTAATAAAAAAATAAAAAATAAACGACTTTAGAAAATCGATAGGGCGGTTTGCTGGATGGAAAAAATTGCTAACCTTTAGAAAGTGCCCAGTCAGAAAGCTAAGTTTGTGCCACGTGAGCATGAAATTTATCATCGAATCACGCCTTACGTCATCGTATTTGACGACTGACGTAGCCGATGATTTCAATCATATCACATCGGGTGATGTTCGCGTAAACCACGCGCGGCGATCACGCGAACAGGATGGCCGACAAAATATACTAAGGAAAGAACTTCAAACAAAGCTATTTTTTTAAAATTATGAAGCACATTTTGAAAAATGTTATCATCAACATTCCAAACGATATGTGATTCGAAAGAGAAGTGACAAATACTTGCGTTAATAAAAAACAACAACATCCTATTCACGTAGGGGAGTGTTCATTATTTATACCCGGGGTTGGTATCGAAGAGAAATGGGTTGGGTAAGCCATTTTTCTGGGGTATGAAGGGTTGGGTAAATATTTTTTG